CATTTCTCTCATTTTTACTATATATGCTCAAAATCTTAAATAAAGTACATACCTTCATGTATTTGTAGATTTGTTTTTGATCTATGTTTTTAACAAGAATGCACACAAGAATGACTAAAATCATGGATTTACACGAGAGTGTGTGAGTGATGAAAATGGGTTTTGAATGGGTAATGCTTGGTTGCTATCAACTAATTTTGTGTAATTAAACGATTTATGAAACACTTTGAGAATTAGAAAAAGGTGAGAAATAAATAATTTTCAAGGCTTTGGTGGAAATGGAAAATTTGAGGTACTGTCAAGGGTAATGTAGTAAATCTTACTTTTTAGAAGACTAGAAATTTTTAATTCTTGAGTTATTCCAATTAGTAGTAAAAAATATGTCTCGTTGCAATTATGTCCTAAACCAACCAATTATTTGAGTAATTTTAAGGGATTCTCTTTTTTTTTTTCCTCCCTCTATTTTAAAATAATTATTCTTTTTAAAATTTTTTTAAATTAAAGATTTCGGATCAATTTATATATTTACCTATATTACTCATAAAATCGAATTTTTTTATGATTAATTAAAATATATAGATAATGATTGGATTAAATTAGGAAAAAAATATGTCTACCCTATAAAATAAAAAATAAAAATTAATTTAGGATAAACTCAAAGTAAAAAAAATTATAGTTATTTTGAGATAAAGGAAATAATTTAATTTTTAATTTTTAATTTATTTAAAAATTAGATTTTCAGATTTTTTTTTTTTCCGATTTTGGGTTGAGGCGACACTCTGCCAGGAAGAGGTCTGTGGCAGATTTTAAGATATTAAGATGTTAAATGTTATGGTTAAAGATTTAGAATTTGAAAGTTTTAATTTTTAAGGTAATTCGGCATAGAGCTTTAGGATTTATGATTTCAAGATTTAGGTTTTGGGGTGTTAGGGTTTAGAATTTTAGGGTTTAGGCATTAAAATTCAAGTATGTACAAAAATGTGAAGCATTATCTTAGAAATACTCTTTGTTATGATAATATATGCATGGGCATAAAAGTTTAGAAAAAAAATGTTTCAGGAACTTCAGACTAGGAATCTTGATGGTGGCAAATCCCCCATTACTAAATTAGAAAAGGAAATGTTTGTCATCTTATTGAAACTTTTATTTTTCAAGTATGATTATTATATTTCACAGTTTATGAGTAATTTATGGATGTCAAGTAGCTTGTGAGAATGCTATTATAGATATGATATTCATGATTTTAGCTTTTATTATTAATTATTATTATTATTATTATTATATTTTGTAAGACATGATTTTAGCTACTTGATATCTTTTTGAATATCGATTATCGAGCTTTTCTTAATTATGCTATTGATCTTATTCTTGAGAAAGCATGGTCAAGCTTGTATTGATGAGGACATATTTGGAAATGTCTTAAGCTATTTGTTACAGGATGTAAATCCATTTTTCAGGTAAATCTCTACTGGATTTTCTTTAGATTACACTATTTGGCTATACAAACAGTTTTCAGTTGGTAGAATACTGAGATTAGTAGACATGATATGTCATGTGGTCTAGTCATTGTTAGTTGTATCTCAGGACACCAGGGATTAATAAATGGTGGAGTCGCTGGAGTGTGTAGAATTCATATTTTCTGTTTTGAGGGCAGAGGACTAATAATCAGTGATTGCTATATTTTATGTCTTGAGATTTTAGGTGCTTATAGAATTGGTACTTTGATAATTGTATATAACTTATCCATCTTAATTTAAGTCTCGTGAGTTTAATTCAACATGATTGTCATCATTATAGCAGTTCTGACTATTATGTTACACACTTCATTTTGATGGATGAACAGCAGCTAAGTATGCATATTCCAATGACACATTTTACTATGGTTTGTTATGAAATTACATTGAGCATTCCTTTTGGGAAAATATTATATCATTTTCATTTTCATTCGCACAGTTCAAACAAGTTCAGGTTATACCTTATTTCCAAGAATTTAAAGTTAACTATCTATTATTTGTGACTTCCAAGATGGAGAAAACATATGAGATTTTCGTCCAAAACAAGAAAAATCTTCTGCCTCCACCCCATCTTCCATTGGGAACTTTTGGACTGCAGTGTAATATTTCAGAATTTTGAAGAAACCAACACTCATAGTTCCTAGTGTCTGATATTTGGTATATGAATCAGTGTTAGGGCTGTCATTTGTTAAACAGGCATTACTAGGTAGAAGAGCACCTGGCATTTCCAATCATCTGTAGCTGTTCCTGTTCCATCAGACACTAATTGCATCTGGCATTATCAAGAACAAACATTCCTGATGATCCCTACAGGTAAGTAATCATCTTTCGATGAATTAGCTGCTTCAAGTTAGCCTTTTGTTTTCATTGGTTTCTCTTCTTCCTTGGCCCCTCCAAATCTATGTCTTTGAATAATTTTATAACCAAGTCTAATTTTTCTATGCTTATTCAGTTGTTTCTGGCCTGATTTTGATGAAGAAGAGAAGGATGAAGGAGGTGTTTCCTCCTCCTCTGAGGAAATTCTGGAAGGAATGGGAGCTCCGAGGAGCAGCTCTGTTCAGCCTTACACTCCAAATAATTCTCATCTTATCAGGCAACCGCAGGAAGTATAAGTGTAGAACTCGGTATAGAGTTATAGTTTGGTTTGCCTATATGCTGGCTGACTCTGTAGCAACTATTGCCCTTGGTATTCTGTCAAATGACCTAGGACAGGTAAATGAAAATGGAGGTAATATTGAGGTGGGTAATGAGCTCAAAGCATTCTGGGCACCCTTTTTCCTGCTGCATTTAGGTGGTCCTGATACAATCACAGCCTACTCCTTAGAAGATAATGAGTTGTATCTTAGGCACCTCTTCGGACTAATAGTCCAGACAACTGCTGCAGTTTACATCTTGATTCTTGCCTGGACAAGTTCTCGTCTTTCTTACCTATCCATTGTAGTGATAGTGGTGGGCAGCATCAAGTATGGGGAGAGAACATGGGCCCTCTGGAAATCAAGCAGGAACAAACTCCGAGATACCATCCTTACTGATCCAGATCCTGGCCCAAACTACCCCAAGTTTATGGAAGAATATACCTTGAGAGATGCAGAGGGGTTCTCAGTGGACATAATAGAGATGAAGGAAGGTCAGGCTAACTTGGATGTAACAGTGCCTAGAAAAACTGCTGAAAAGGATGTACCAGCTGAAAATGAACATAATTTAGTCAAAGCTCATGCCTTATTTCAGACATTCAAGAGTTTGTTTGCAGATCTAATCCTTAGCTATCATGACCGGGACAGTAGCCAAGGTTTGTTCAAGGAAATGTCTGATGAAAATGCTTTCAATGTGATTGAGATTGAACTAGGATTCATGTATGATCTGGTGTACACAAAGGCACCGGTTATTTATACTCGCTGGGGTTTTGTTCGACGCTTCCTCACTTTCTTCCTCACCTGCGGAGTGTTTACGTCTTTTATCCTTGATGATAAGTTCAGGCATAACAGGACTGACTTTTGGGTCACTGTACTTTTGCTTGTTGTCGCGATATTCCTAGAGATATATGCAGCCCTTATCGTCCTTGCCTCAGATCAAACCAGAGTTTGGTTAATTAAGCATGGGATGACTAGCATACGTTCTTTGGAAGAATTGTTTAAGTGGTTTAAGGTGCAGAGGTGGTCAAAGAGAATTGAGCAGTGTTTAAAGGTGCCGAGGTGGTCAAAGACTGTCGCACAGTATAGTCTACTATGGCCCAGCCTTAAAGAAAAACTTAGCCATAAAATTATTGAAGAATATCGGTATAAAGAAATCAATAAGTTTTCTGCGGATTACAGGAAGCTGATTTTTGACCATGTCAGAAAGAAGTTTGTGCAATTTGAGGAACAAAGGAAAGAACAGCAGGGGAGAAGTACAAGCAGTCTTGAGACAGCTCTTAGGGAGGTCTGCGGCCAAAGGGGAAAAGGCGTACTTGATGAATACAAGGAAAAGATAGGTCAGGTTGACCTTGAATGGAGTATAAGTGTTGAATTTGACCAAAGCATCCTTATCTGGCACATGGCTACAGAAATCTGCTACTATTCTCCAGAAGACCTTTCTGATGAAGTTAAATTAAGTAGAGATTTCAGTCTGCACATGTCAAGATACATGTTGTATCTCCTAGTCATTTATCCATTCATGTTGCCTGTAGGGATTGGGCTTATCAGGTTCCGTGATACTCGTGCTGAGGCCATGGAATTTTTCAAGGAGCAACTGCCTACCACCACGGATGGAGGCACATATTGCGCAGCTGCCCTCGCTGAACTTCGGAGAAAAATATGGTAAACTCCTCTGTAAGTCCTCAATCTCTAACATGAGATATTTTAAATCCTAACCTTCATTTTGCTCTGCCTTTTGTCCCCAAGGATTCTGGCAATAATCCTATTAGTCCTTCTGTTAAGTTTAGAAGTTCAGTAGAAACAGAAGTATTTCATGGCAATTACGGTACCCCACAAAACTTTAAATAAATATTGTAAAATACTTTTTCTTTTTCTCTCATAGTTCTTAGCAAAAACTCCAAACCTTCTGAGGGTAACACTAACATTATCTTCATTATTTGTATTGGAAATTAAATCTTTGTTTTGAGTAGATATTATGCATTTTAAGAATTTTTTGGGGTTATGGAAGTCGATGCATTTTTAGCATTTTCCTTCTATTTTTAGGTGAATTCTTTTTTTCACTTCATATTTTTGTTTTTTCCTTTGCTAGATTCTTCCCCCCCTTCTTCTTCTTCTTTTTTTTTTTTCTTTTGATTGTTGAGAATTGAAGTTAGATGCCTGAAAAATATGTGCAAAATTTTTTAAAAATTTCTTTGTTGTCTTTGGCTCTCTTATATAAAACCTCTCCCTTTTGGAAATTACAAGATGTGAAAAAATTCTTTCAAACTCTTTTAATTGTTTATATTGAAAGAAAAAAGGTTGTTGAGACATTTAGTGCATACTCTCCATTACATAACAAATTTTGTAACCTGAAAACATGTCCATTGTTATTTTAATTTATTGTGTAAATAAATATTTGTGAAATGTAATATACTTTAGAGAAAGTGTATATTAGATAGACCTCTAAAAAATTAGGAGAAAAAACTTCTAAAACTTACATCTTTTCAATAAATTCTCATTAAAAAAAAGACTAAAATAACTTATTTTTTAAAGCACAAATGTGATTATTATAGCCCTTTTCTTGTAATACTTTATTAAAACAACGTAATTTTAAGTTTTTTCCCCTAATTTTTTAGAGCCTCACTTGATAAACACTAATCTCATATACTATTTATGACATTAAAAGTTAATTTGCTTCCCTTGGCTTAAATTTTTGGCTACTCTATTAGTGAAATATAGGATGTTATTTTGTGACTTTAAAGTTTGCTCCCTCAACTTAATTTCCTGGCTCCGTTCCTGCCTATTGGTTCCAGTTCCAGTGTAGTGGGCGTTGAAAAAAGAAGAAAAAAGGCTTGCAAGTCATTGCTTGAAGTGAGAACAGACATTCCTCCCATCAAAGTCAAAGGCGATAGAAGCAAATCTGTGTTGTTTGATGCTTGCATGTTGGCATCAAGGTTGAAAACTATATCAGATCCAAACGTTAAATGGGATCTAATGAGAGATATGTGGTTGGAGCTGCTAGCTTATGCCGCTTGTCACTGTAAGGGTAGTCAGCATGGTCAGCAGCTGAGAAGAGGTGGAGAACTTCTAACTCATGTGTGGCTTCTTATGGCTCATTTTGGCCTCACTGAGCAGTTCCAGATATCTCAAGGCCATGCAAGAGCTAGGCTGGTCACCAAATAGTAGCAGACACATGCATCCTCTTTTAAATTCTCATTGAGAGATCACAACTTCTTATCATCTGGACTGAGTTCTAGGTAAATTGCTTTCTTCACATTTTTCTGTTTCCCTTGAGTATTAATATTGTTAAATGCTATATGTAGATTGAGGACCCGACTTGTGTTTCTGCAACTTACATGTGTTGCTTTGTCTTTTGTTGTGAAGAAAGTTGAAACTGAGTGTTGTGATTGTGAAGAAAATTGAAACTGATTGTTGTGATAGTTTCCTAATGTTTCCATAATCCTCACATAGATGACTAATTTGCGTACAAGAAATCTTAGAATTGTAGAAAGCTGATTTTGAGAATCAGGACAGTACAATCTAATTTGTGTATATGTAGGTCGTCGGCAACTTAAAATTAACAATTTAAACAAATTTTTCTTAAAAGTTTCCATTAGGGAATAAATGATACTCGGATAAATATGCGTATTTGAATTATAAATAATAACTATAAAATATCACCTTAAAAGAGTGTTTCAAGTGATTGAGAATTTAAGATTTTAAGTTGAAGATTTTGAGTTTAAATCTTAAGGTGAGTGGGGAAGGACAAGGGAAATGAAAAATTATTTTTTATTGTATAATTCATTATCATATAAAAAGTTAAAATAATATATTTACCTCTTTACTTTTAGTAATTATTAGAAAGACTCTTAATACTTTTAAGTAATAAAATCAACTCTCACATTTTGTTTAAAAATAAGTTAGCCAAAATTTAATAAAAGACCTAATCATG